CAATAAAAATCCAAGATAGAAGTAGTAGATTGCACACACACACACACACACACACACACACACACCACAAATACATAAAATATATAATTATACATGTAAAATTATATATATGTATAGATATAGATATAGATATAGATATATATGATTGAAAATACTTTTTTATACAATATATTCTGTTCATGGTTTCCTGGCCCCAAACTCCTCCCAGATCATTCCTACCTCCCCACTCACCCAACTTGAAGCATTATATCTCTTTAGAAAACAAATAGGCAAACAAACAAAAAACTCAAACAAATAAGAATCTAAAATAAAACAAAGAAAAAGCACCAGAATAGTGCCCCCAACACACACACACACACACACACACACACACACACATCATAAAAACCAAAAATTGAAACCATAATATACAAGGCTTAAGCTTCTTGCTTCTCATTTTCATTAATGTGAAACATTGAAACCGATAATTTCAAGCTACAAACATAAAATTGAACATTACCTCTGGTCTTCTCCTGGTGTCAACACTATGGCAATATTGTTTGGAAATATAGCTCTTAAGCTGATTATTTTGGCTATTCCTGTAATGAAACATCATGATCAAAAGCAACTTGGGGAAGAAGGGATTTACTTAGCTTATTCTTACACATCACTATTCATCATCAATGGAAGTCAGGACAGGAACTCAAGCAGGCCAGGAACCTGGAGGCAGGAGCTGATGCAGAGGCCATAAAGGAATGCTGCTTACTGGCTTGCTCCTCATGGCTTGCTCAGTCTGCTTTCTTATAGAACTCAGGACCACCTGCCCAGGGACGGAAACATCCACAATGGGCTGGGCCCTCACCTATTAATCATTAATTAAGAAAACTCCTATAAGCTTGTCTACAGTCCAGTTTTATAGAGGTATTTTCTTAGTTGAGGTTCCCTTCTCTCAGATGACTTTAGCTTTTGTCAAGTTGACATAAAACTGTCCAGCACATTCATGTTTCAGTTTTTCCCTGAAGGCTAAACAAACTCATAAACAAAACACCCTTAAGGTCTCACTGGTATATCCCCAGCTGTGATTCTATTCCACACCTCCTTGATCCCCCTGGCCCCGCTCATTTCTCATGGTGATGGATACCCAACACCTTTACTTTATCTTCCTATCATTGCTCTACATTCAAAATAAGCTCCCATGATTGGACTTTTCACCCTAACTTCACCCTTCCATTAAACCCAGTAATGCCACCAAAAGGTGGATTCTCAAAAATCCACCTCCTTGACATCAGGGAGACCTTGTGTCCATCTACTTCTCATGGTACCTGTTTCTGTAAAATACCACCGTCCATCCATCCTCCTCATCTTGGCCTGGCTGTACTGGTAAGCCTTGGCGGGGCTTTCCTTGTCTTCTCTGGTCTTCCTTCTCTATCTAGTTGCTTTGTTGAGCTAGCCAGACCCACTTGGTGGCTACCACCCGACTCACAATAGATGCTGTGTACCTAAAGGTCTATGTGTCAGTCATCATAAACAGCATGCTGCGAAGCTGACCTTCCACATCCACATTTGCATGCAGAGCCCAGCCTTCTCCAGTGTGCCTGCCCTGGCTCCTGTCCTCAGTCTTGAAGGCGGAAAGCATCACTCTCGCGTTTTATGCCTCTAACCCTTTCTAGGTCCATGTTTCCCACCAGTTCTTCCTATTTCTTTGAAATCACTGGCTACACGTGTCTCTCCACCCACTCCTCCCCATTCTAGGTTTTCATTGTTGCAATCATGCTAAAGTTTGTCCTCGCTGCACACGGTTCAACTGGTAAACCTAATTCCACTGAAAAACACTGTGTGCATCATCAGATCATCTGCCTCTCAAGCTCATATGATGATCTACTGTTGGCAAGTGGAGAATGCTGTGTTTATTCCTCAACGGTCTCCAAAACCCAATCCTGTTCTATTGTTTTCAACTATCATGGCAACGTTATAACTCATGACCTGGAATCAGTACACTCGGCAGTATTGTGCTCATCCATCAGTTCCTTACCTGTTGTCTAAATGTCGTCTGTGTTTGAGCTGGCCAGAGTCCAGGTGTTTTTGTTTGTTTGCTTTTTTTTTTTTTTTAAATCAGGGTTTTAAGTATTTTTCAACTCAATAGCCAGGGAGGAGGGTTTTTCTTATGGAGTATGGGGAAGAATTCTAAGCAGAGAGTGAAGTACTTTCCTCTTCCCTCCTAGTGCCTTGGAGCTGCTGTGTATAAATCAGGCAGGAATCCCACACTCATCAGGCATCCCCTGCCTCACATCTGAATTCATATCAGCTTCAAAATGAAGCCAAGAGCGGTAAATGTGGGCTTTTGGAGGAAAAGCCCAGTTCAAAGGGGGTTTAATAAGGACTTGGTCCTCATTTGCATTCTCCGGAGGGAATGCGTAGCATAAATACCTCCCTCTTTCATCCCTAAAGTGTTCTCTGTTGCTAGGTCAATCTCAAGGGTGCTTTATGCGCATAGAAACTTTCTGTTCCGAAACCAGATAATGCAAACTTCATCCTGCTTGGGTTTTATATAAGCTCCCAACATCACCGGGATAAGTGGGACAAATTGAGATTTTTTTCCCCTTTTGCTTTTGAAGGCCTGATTTTTTAAAAAAATGTGGTATATATTTTAATGTTGAATATTTTAAGTTCCCCCTCAGCTAGCAAAAGGTTTTTATAATTTTGTATTAACTGAACTTTAAAATATTATGGCAATATGTAAAAACTATTCAGAGAGTGATAATTCAGGTTTGCCTTGTCCATCCTGCAGTATTCTATCCCCCAAGCAATGAGTTTACACAAGAGTTTATTCAAGAGGTAGCCACCATGAGGAGGGAAGGCCCCAGACTCAAACCTGCCTCTCTGAGGCCTAGGGATGTTTATGGGATACAGAAACAGGATAATCTGAAGTGAGGCAAGTGTAGTGATGGGAGGCTAGGAAAGGCGACCTCATTGGTGGTCCATGCATTTAATGGGATGTCATAGCTCTTCATATAACTCATGGTACTCCTAGCCCGACTTCCTGAATATCGGCATCCATTTGTTCTGGTAGCTGTCCATATAAATCTGATGAACTCTTCTGCATGTTTGGTATAATGTGACCTGTAAATGGAGTGTGGGTCCTGTGAAGTCCACAAGTAGGTCACCAGACTCTAGTGAGACCCAAGTGAAGGGGCTGGACTTCACTAGTTTGAGCTAGATGAGGCTATCTCCAATCTCCTTTAAGATAAAAGAAACAAATAAATAAAAGCCAGTAGAAATAATTGTCACCAGGGTGACCATACACCCTGTGTCTTTCCTGTGTCTTAAGTGATTTCTAAACCTTGAGGAAAGTGGGGAAGCTGGCATTTGATTCAGCTTCACTGTGTATCACAAAACAACACCATGCGCTCCCTGGTTTTTAAACTTGACTACAAAGAGAAAATGGTAGATGCCTCTTACAATAGGTAAACATACTACTCACTTCATTTGGGGACTTGGTTACAACAACGAGCTATGTAAAACCCCTAGTTTAGGAACTAATTTGAGATGATGAATAAGGACACTTCGCAAAGTGAGGTACCACAATGCGCGCTAAGCTGTGAAATAGACCGAACATACGGAAGAGCTTATAAAATTCATATGGACAGCTACAAGAACAAATGTCCTGATACTCCTGAAGCCAGGCTGTGAGTATCGTGAGTTCCACACCAGCCTAGGGTACACTGAGGTCTTCTCTCAAAAAACAAGGGGAGGGAACAAACAGCAGAACACACATGTATGAGCTAGCTGTCAGAACGACATGCTGAACTCACCAGTGTCCTGGGATCCTTCCCCTCATTGTTGTGCTTGCAAATGGCTTGTAACCTTTAGCGTGGAGCACAGCCACCCTGGATACCCGGTACAGAGCAATCCATGGAGGATCTGCTCTCAGCTTCTGTCATTCCATGTCCCATCTCACCCTGCTGGCCAATGATTCCCAATGAATGACGTGAGAGAGGGAACCCTTTCCTCTGGCCACACATCAGTGTCCTGGGCACTGAGCTGCACAGCTGAGAGAAGAGTGGACCAAGAGGAGTAAAGGAAAGGCACCCCTGGCTTTAGGGACACCAGTGAGGGACAGCTGGGGACCCCTCCAGACCTCTGGTGCCTTCAGAAGAGCTCCAGGGTGTCCCCTTCCTCTTCCTGTGTGTTTGTCTCTAGATTTGATTCCCATCTCTCTTGAAATCCCCCGATGACTCCCGTAGGAGCTGGTCCTCTGAGCATCAAACTCTGCATTACATCCTTTATCCATGCATCTGGCCTAATGGAGCCCAGCTTCAAGACTCAAGTCAGTTCGTGTTCCTATGAGGAGAGCTTGGCGAGAGAGAGCATGCATGTCTCCTGTCCCCTTGCCACCCAATGAGCAGAGGTGGCTCCTTGCTCCTCTGCTCTGTCACTAGATGGTTAGCTGTACACTTGAGTTTCTTTTTTTATTGCTTAACTGCATGCTGAAGTTACCTAGGAAAACATTCTTTAGTCTGGAACAAGAGACCTGAAGGGTGTCTGCCATTCATGCTGACCACAACAAAGGACAGAGGAGGTCAACTCAGCACTCTGATTAATCATATCTCCATTAGGCCTGTGGACCTTGATGCTCATCAACTAGGAGAATCAGATAAGAAGGCTGAATCTCCAATACTGTAAGGCAGGATGTTTTTAGATACAATGGGGAATGGGGGAGGGTCCACTTTTCAGGAACCCACACACTGCCCCCTAAGGGGGGGGAAACACATAAAACCTTAAATTCTTGCTTATAAGCGAGTGAAAAGGTAAGGTGATGGTTGAAAGGTCACAGTCTGCCATCTTCCAACATGCTGGGCTCTGCCTGACCTGGGGGTGGGGGGCAAACTGGCACAGATGGGTATACTGGTTGAAGTCCCCCCCCCCTTTTCCACTCTTCCTGGACACAGTCTGTATCCTCATTCTCTACACGTTTTGATCATGGAGTCCTATCAAGAAAAGAACTGAGCACACTTCTCTGATTGTTTTTCCATACACATTCATAAGTCATATGGGGAGGTGTGGCAGTCCTCTTCTTCCTCTTGGCTTGGCAGCCATCAGTCTGGGAATGCAAAGAGGCAGAATTGGCAGCAGAAAGCTTTGTACAGGGCCCATGAGCAGGAATGGAGACAGTCCTCCCGGAGACTGCTTTTGATGAAATCAGGCATCTGGCAGCTTTCAGATAAGGTCAGTCCTCTAGACCTAGGGACATTCTCCGGATAAGGGCAGGTGGAGGCAGGAAGTTCTGCTGGGGAGGGAGGGAGTCCCGTGTCTTCGATCTATTGAGATAAGCTACCAGGCCATGGGAGGCTACAACCACTACCAGTCAGTGAGAACATTCCAACATCTCCCCATTTTGTGGTGGAAAGGTATCATCGTAAGCCCTGAAGAACCTGTCACCTGTGTTAGAAGGGTCCAGGGCCTGGTAATGAGCCATGACCTGATTGGTGGTAATTTTAGTAATGGAAGAACTGAAGCATCAAACTGAAACAGCATAATCAGAGCACTGATAAAGAGTAGGAGCCACAAAAATAAGAGGTTATGGAACCAGCTAATGTGCTCCATGGGCTGGAATTTTGAGTGTAGGTCTTTGTGCAGATTGTTGAGGGTGTTGACATTAGTTTTCACAATGTCTGATTTGTTTATATAGAAGCAACACTTTCCTCCAACACCAAGCAAGTCTGCCCATGTCCAGCAGTTATTGTGTCTAGTGTTCTTCTGTCATGAAGCACAACCCTGGCAGGACAGTTCATCTGTCTTTGGAGTGACTCGAGGCTCTGAGGTGTAGATACCATGGCCGATCAAGTCTGTGTCTGAAGTCTCCAGCCAGATGACGTGTCTGGACGATGGCAGTTGTTGCAGCCCTGGAAGATCCAAGGGAGATGACAAGTCCTAGTCCTACCAGTAAAGGAAGGAATATGATAGCCATATGTTTCTCAGGTCCTGTCTGGAACCCCCTCCCCGCCACGGTCCAGACGGATCTCTCTCACCCATGGTCCTGCAGCTGCTTGGACCCAAGTAAACACACAGAGACTTATATTACTTATAAAAGGTCTATGGCAGGCCTCTTGCTAGCTAGCTCTTATATCTTAAGTTAACCCATTTCTATTCATCTATGTATCGCCACGTGTTCCGTGGCTTTACCTGCATCCCGTGACATGTTGTTCCTTGGATGGTGGTTTGGCATCTTCCTGTCCTCTGCCTTTCTTCCTGTCTCTCTCTTGGATATCCTGTCTGGCTATGTATGTCCTGACTCATCAGCTTCTTTATTGAGCAATCATAGCGACGCATGTTCACAGCGTACAGAACGACATCCCACAGCGGAATATCTCTCATCTTTGGTCAACAGTTGTGTTGCTTCCTTCTCCTCACATAGATAGACCTGTGGAAAAATCACAACACGGGTACAAAACCCTGGCAGGGGGGTGGCTACACAGGAGGTTATCTTTCCCTTACACCAAAGAAGAAGGGGAGGGGCGGCGATACCTCTCGGCCTGGAAAGAGTGATATTAAAGTGACGTAAAGGAGAGTGGTACTGATCCATGGAGCTGCCAGCAGAGATCTGTTGCAGGATGTATAAAAGAAGCAGTTAGAGACATTAGGGTGGGCGGAGAAAGGGAGAAAGTTAACCTATTGGACGTATTGTAGCCAGGGGGTGCTGCTGAGCATTTCGTCTTTCCTGTAGCTTCTGTTTAAGAATATTTTTATGAGTTAGCATGGCCTGGGAGGTCCTCCCCAGCTGTTGAGCAATGTGAGTATCAGCAGAGGGATTTATAGCATAAATTGATGGGATACAGTTTTCCTGTGAGTCCTGCTCTTCATCTTTCATTCCAAGGGTCATCTATAATAATGGTGAGGTGGCTATCTTAAGTTTTGAAAGAGGAACGGCATCCTTGGGTTGGGGCAGTCCACGGATCCAATCTTGTGAGGAGGAAGAGGAGCATGGCGGGGCTGGAGAGATGGCTCAGTGGGTAGGAACCCTTGTGGTACCAGCAGGAGGGGCTGAGCTTGAATGTCCAGAACTCAGATAAAAATCCGGTGTGGCCGTGTTTGCACCCATGATGCCAACATTGCGGAGGGCAGGGACAGGAGGACCCCTGGGGCTTTCTGGTTACCCACCTCCAGGTTCAGTGACCCATCCTGTCTCAGGGACTACTTTCCCTCTCTCTCTCTCTCTCTCTCTCTCTCTCTCTCTCTCTCTCTCTCTCTCTCTCTTTCTCTCTCTCTTTCTCTTTTTTAGAAAGTTAATCCATTGAGCTCTAAATCTTCCCATAATACCCAAAAAAGAAATTAACAAATAAAGAAAAAAAAATCAAATCCAGCCCCGCAGCTTCTATTAACATTTTAGTTTGCATTTTCAGTATTTTCTATACATACTGTCTTTTATACTCAATTAGGAATTGTTCTTGTTTCCTGGAAGCTTTCTTCTACACCTAATACATCATGAGCACTTTCCTATGAACGTTATCCTTTGAGACCATAATGTGTTGATACATAATAAGCCTGTAATTTGACACATTACAATAACAAATGAACATGTAATAAAGATTCCATCCCATGAAGTATCCTATAACTTAATAAGCCCCCATAACTAAAGTGTGTACTTCCAAATTCTCCCTGCTCTGAGTACTCTTTATCAACAGGACTTTGATCATCTCTTACATAACACAAATTCTCCACGCGCGATTGCTGATTCAGAGACTTAAAGAGGATCCACGCTCATTCATTGTCCCATCCCTTAAAGCTGTGACTGGAAGCAGCCGAACACCCAAGAAAGGAGGGTGCTGCCTGCCGCTGTCACCAACTTCTCCTTGGATCAATACATATCACTGCGTAGTTCATCACCCACATTTTTATTGCTGCTGAGGGTAAATATTTTCCCACAATGGTTATCACTTACTTGACCTTCCTTTCACATATTGCCTATTTACATTCACCCACTGCAGTTAAATATTGGCCTTTTTAGTTAAAAATCTGTGTATATATGAAAAACATGTTTCTCTCACACAGAACCCTGTGCTTCACAGAGAAAGACTAGAGCCACAGTTGGGCCCTATGAATGGTACATGGTGAAACACTGAACGATGTTGGGAAGAGAACTGTCCAGAAACCAGATCTGAAGGAGTAACCGCGACTCCGGCTGGAATTGACTTTGCTCTTTCTTCATGGGAAGTTTGTGGATGGTTCAGTACCTTTCGGTTTCCAGCTGTCCCTGTCCTGAGGTCCAGCCCTTCCCTAGAGGTTTTGTCAGCAAGAAACAAGAGAAGGAAACAATGTTTGTGCTGCCTAGCAACCAAACAGACCCCTTGATGGTTTATGATTCTGACACATTACATTAACAAAGCATTCCCAGCACCGCAGAAGGACCAATTCTCTTACAGTGCTAATGTAATCCTCGAGTAAATCATGCTGATCATACACAAGCAATCTGACAAAAGGTCCACTTAAAGTGACATAAGAAAGGTGACTTGGAACGTCTAACAGCCATTTCTTCTTGGGTGAAGTTCATTCCTGGTATACCGTTTCTTAACAGTCTATCACTTCTAATTCATGTACAGCTTGGGCATTGCTGGGAAAGACTTCAAATTCATTGCCTTTGCAGTTTTCCATAGTTGGGCTTGTAAAAAAACACTCACATATTTTTGTATTTAAAAGCCTGGGCCCTAGCGTCCTGGGTTTTGGAGGTAGTAGAACTGTTAGGAGTTGGGCCCTGGGGTCTTCTGGTTTTTGAATCTGTGCCCTTAAAATGCACTTGGATGCCCAGGGTCTTCCTCTTCCGGTTTCATTCCTAACGGTAAGGTGAAATCTGTTATGGCAATGAGGCCGCAGACACAGAAGCAACAGTATTCACAGAGCCTTCCCTGAGACCTTCAAAACATCAGCACAAGTAAGCCTTTCCTCTTTACAAATTGATTAGTTCAGGTCTTTACTTATAGTAGCAGAAAGCTAACAGAGTTTTAATAGTTTCTCTATCATTCCCATTAAGAGCTAGCTGAGATCTTACTCACGTTACCTTGTTTGGGGCTTCACTGTTTTAAATGTAAAATTCTACTGAATTAACCATTTGAAGGAAGGACAAAAGAGATAACACCTCATGGCCCCTTCTCAAAAACCAATTAAGTTAATTCTCTTCCTGACCCCCTCTATGGCGAAGTGAGTCTCGCTTGTCACATTGATCTCTGCATGGCTTGAGATTCAGGTACGCAGCCCAGTAAACCACAGGGTCCCTTACTTGTTAGAAGTGTTGAAGAACACTTTTTAAAATATCTTTATTTTTGTTTAATAAGATGCAAAGCCATCACCTAGCCCACTCTTATAAAGGCATAAAAATGCTAATGTAATCTTTATAAGTCTGTTACTGCTTCTCTGAGAGGGATATAAGATAAATCAAACCTACATCAATGCAGCAACCCCCAGAACACTAGACAGAACCCCCCCCCTTGCCTACCACTAGGCAATGATAATAGTTGTAAACAGCAGATGTCAAACATCTGCATCTTGTCATTCTAATCCCAGGTTGCCTTCTGTCTGTATTTTTTTTCTTCCCAAACTAAGAGTTTTTCAATTAATTTACAGGAGTTATTCTTTAATCTTCTTCTACCCGATTAGCGTACAACTCAAGCATATGCTTTTGACATGGTTTGCAGAATTATGCTATGTGTGTCTTTTCTGCTTTTCTGCTTATAGATATGAAAATGCATATGTGTGAAGCATCTGGTGGTGGCCCTCACTTCCTCCAAAGAATCTAATTTCTCATAGAGTCAGAAGTTTTATCTCCAACTGACCGCATTCACATAGATGAACTGTCTTCTCTCATTTCTAAATATAACAATATAGAAATTCACTGCAAAAACTTGCTTTGCCTCTCAAAGTTACTAGGACATGACACAGCATATTAGTAAAATACACACACACACACACACACACACACACACACACACACACACACACACACAATTATTGAACCTCATTAAATAACCAGATTCTTTGACTGGTCCTGGTCCCTGGCTCCTGAGAGGAGGACTGAATGAACCTTTGGGATTTCCCAAGAGATAGGATAATCTTCATTCTTCATGGTGGATTCCTCAGATCACACCTTTAAGACTAGCTACATCTTCCAACTCTGGAGGAGCGAAGAGAGAGGGATACTGAGTTCAAATGTGTGGCCAGTGATTCTGTCAATAATGACCATGTAAGACCCAGTAAAATCTCTGGCTGCTGAGTTTTGTGGCAAATTAAAATACACAGAGACACACCCAGCAATTAATCCTCTGATTGAAAGAAAAATACAGACTAGTTGAAAAGTTTGAAATGGGAGGCACTGTATTGGTCTCCTGCACTAGAGAGATGATTTCCAATTCTTTGCTCCAGCATTAGGAAGACTCTGTCTTAGCATTTCTGATTCAAGTCACAGCAGTGACAAGCACATAATGACCTGGAAGCTTTCATCTTCAAACACACTTTGATGTGAGAACCAGGGTCTGCAATGCATAAATAATATGGACACTGCAGTACAGGAAGGTGAAATCGCAAATGTCTCTTCAGCCGAAACATTCTGTAAGTTAAGACTGGCATGGCCGGTTCTTTTCTAGATGGGAAGTTGCTATATCCAGAGATTTGACTTGGTTATTCTTCCAATAAGCATGCTTTCAGTTAAAGCCCTTGCATTAAGGTATTTCATGTGCAATAAGAGGAAGATTATCTCAACCTGTTCACACATTGCATGCTGGGATTGAAATAGACACTCCTGGATAATATCTAAAGGCTCAACAGGTGGATACCAAAGATCCTTTGATATTAGAATGTGTCAGAGTGACAGATGAGAGACGAGTTCAGCCAAGAAAGCATCCTGGGAAATAACCAAGATATCAAGTAAAATTGAAGCCTTCAAAATAAAATAAAATAAAATAAGAGAGTGAGTCATTGAGCCTTAAAAAAAAAATCTAGGCAATAATATCCTAAGACAAATTAAAACAAGCAAAAGGGCCGAGTGAGAGGAAAAGTAACTCTCATCAACTGAATTCGAAGTAATTACTTTTGAAAAAAAAAAAAGTAATCACAGGCACCAGCTCTTACAGACAGATGAATAGAAGCATTACATTTATACAGTGGATAAGAGCGAGAACCTCAGTCTACCACCACAGACCTGTGTTGCCAGCCAGGCAGGCACAGCATAGTCAACAACCACACCTCAGCAGGAAGCAGTCCCTTAGCCTGAGCAATGGAATGCTTACTCACTCATGATCGCCAGAACCTACAGAGGTCTAAATAACAGGCTGTTTTCCAATGATATGACCAGTCCAGGCTGTCTGTGCCAGCACAGACCAGCTACAGTAAAGACAAAAACTGAGCATAGAGCTTAGAGGATGTTCTTCACCAAAGATGTTGGAAGTGCCTGAGATGGTTAATAGCACATGCTGCTCTTTTTGAGGTTCTGGGTGTGGTTCCCAGCTCCCATATCAAGTGCTGCCACTTGTAACTCCAGCTCCAGGGGAGGGTTGGATGTCCTCATCTTGTCTCTACAGGCACGTGCACGCACATGCGCAGGCCCCCCCACACACACACAGTTTGTTTGTTGTTTGTTTTTTGAGATAGGGTTTCTCTGTGTAACAGCCCTGGCTCTCCTGTAACTTGCCTTGTAGACCAGGCTGCCCTTGAACTCACAGAGATCTGTCTGCCTCTGCCTCCCTGAGTACTGGGATTAAAAGCATGCGCCAATAAATATATTTTTAAAAGGGGGTGTTGGAGGGTTAAAAGAGATCAACCCTTTTGTTCTACCAGTTAATTTGTACACAGCCTCTTAACTGTCCATAAATGGATTCATCAAAGTTGGCAAGCAGCTTATCCCCTTCAATGATTCAAACATCTCTATATTAAACTTGAGTTGTAGCACTCATTTGCTTTGTGAGTAGATTAATAATTAACCAACATGCCACATTCCCCTTCCAGCCCATTGCTCCCAGGGTGTCTCTGAGCGTGTCTGAATGGTCACCATTTCCCAGGAGGTCAAGCTCTAGCACCTTCCACAGCTACCCCGCTACTGAATTAGTCACTCTATAGGTTTGCCAGTTATTTCCACCATTATGTTAGGAAAATGACATGAGTTGTAGTAATTTACAACACTGTGGATTCCACACTGTCCTCATCAGCTTATGGGAGGCAAAGCCTGGTAAACCAAATGCTACCAGTTGTCTGAGAACACCTCTTGCCCAGACAGAGATTTAATTTACTGCATTCTGCCAACATGTGCTCAGCTTGATTCCAAGGCTCAATGTACTCCGTTCCATTCTTTGTAAGAACTGACTTTTTTTTTTTCTCTCCATAATATTGTAGAATAGTGGTTCTCAACGTGGGTCATGACCCACCCATTTGGGGGATCAAACAACCCTTTCACAGAGGTCTCCTGAGACCATTGGAAAACACGGATATTTGCATTATGACTGATAACAGAAGCTTAATTACAGTTAAGAAGTAACAATGAAAATAACTTTATAGTTGGGGGTCACCACTATATGAGGAGCTGTATAAAAGGGTCACAGCATTAGGAAGGTTGGGAACCAGTGATTTAAAACCTACACAAACTTCCACCCTTTGCATCACCGTTATCTCTTCTGTGAACTTTCCCTTGACTATCATTCATGCGAGCATACGCTCCAGATCCTTTCTGGTCTTCAGTCACGGTTACATGACTGAGGAATTATGTTAGTTATAGGCCACTATTCTCGGCATCATTTAAGGCAGGAACCATGTCTTAAATATTTATGCAAATTAATGAGAAAATCAATGAATACTCGGCACTGTAAATCATTTGACAGCTTGTGTAGTATTTTCTTAATATGACGAAGTGGGTAATTAACCTTATATAAATTTAGGATGGAACATGATGAAAGGGGGATTAACATCGCTTCATAATAACAGAGAAAATGCTGGGGGTGTAGTGCAGTGGTCTAGCACTCACCTAAGTGCATGTGGTGCTGATTCAGCCCAGCACCAATCAGCAAACAGTGCCACTGAACACAGCAGGTGAACACAGCAGGACTTTGAAGATCTCCCGGGGCAGTGGAAAGATGCCAGCACCAGCCATATTGCCAAGCATCTAAACCCACAGAGCTGATGACATCACTTATTAGAGGCTACCTGCGACATAGCAAGAGGGTTTGAATGACTGTCATCCAACTCCAACAGAACAATTAAATGTTTGCCTCTCTCAAGGCAGATAGACCAAAGACCCCAGGAAGGGGGAAATGCAGGATTTCCTCTGGCTTGTCAACACTGTGAGTCACCATCTGGTCCAGACAATGGGGAGACACAGCCACTCACAGCCCTTCTGGCCTTCTTCCCCCTTTAGCAAAGTATGGACTGGGCCTTCATAGCTGGGATTCCCTCACTTCGCCCTCTGTTCTTCTTCAGCCTCATTTACCACACGGGGTAATCTGAGAGCCTTTTCTGTAACCATGCGAGGTTTACTGTCAACTGAAATTAAGAGAAAACACAAGAGTTTTATCCCAAGCCAGTCCTTCAGAATCCATGAAAGATAAAGGAAGAGGCCAAGGAGTTGTGGAAGAACTGGCCTGGAGCCCAGCCAGAGGCCCTGTTTGTTATAAAGGATATTTCAGACAGAGCTGGCCAAAATCAACCACAACACTCAGAAATCTGAAAACTCCTACCTCTAAAATAAATGAGTTCCCAGTTCCCAGCTTTGTGCCCAGGATGCAAAACAGAAGTAGGTATTTTAATTCACACTTCTGCTGACTCAATGCCATCATCTGCAAAACCAACATTGAACAATGATCATGCAAATCTCCAAATCGGGGTAAAGCCCTGTGGCCCGCAATCATTAGCCATGTTAAATTCCTAGGAAAAGTTGAAAGTCTCGGGCATGCACCACACAGGGACCTGTTCACCACTCGGGTCAAGCTCAACACCCATGTCATTGCCAGTTTAGGGACTATGTTTGGCTGCTACCACTAGTCACCCCAAACTCAAGGTCCCAAACAAGCCAGAATTGTTTCTTTCTTTCCACAGAGACAGGTAACCAGTGCTGGTGATGGACCTCCCCTATTACAACAGGGGGTCAGAGTTCTCAGAGTGTGATCCAGAATGGCTGGACAGCCACCTTGGTGAGGAAATGGGAATGAAAATAATAGTATGTCAGCATGTTAGTCTCTGTAGAAGTTTTCAATGGGAACGCTCTATGATCTCCATTCATTTTACACCCAGCACTCAACCACATGGCGGTGTGTTATTGTTGGTGAGGCTTGAAGAATATGATGCCCTTTGAGCCTTGTTATCAAAGGAGAAAGGAGAGGATTTAGGGGTGTATCTCCTGGAAAGGACACTGTGGTGCCTCCCTGCTCAAAGGCCAGTCTAGATAAACTCGGGTCCCAGAAATGCTGCTTAGCTCACAGCTTGGGCCAAGATTCTGATGTCAAGATCCCTGCACAGCTGAGCAGCCTGTTCTGGTTTTAAATTTTGAAACAATTCATCTATACAACAGTTTTTCAACAATCCTTAAAACAACCAAATCCTTTTAGTATCAAGTAGTTATAAAAATAATCAATTGAGTGTCTGGATGTGGCCTTGTGTTCATTATTTAAGGAGTTGGTAGTGTTTTGTTTCATTATTTAAGGAGTTGGTAATATTTTGTTTCATTATTTAAGGAGTTGGTAATGTTTTGTTTCATTATTTAAGGAGTTGGTAATATTTTGTTACAAACTGCTGGGCCTAGCAATAATGAGATATTTCAAAGAAATTTACACATGGAAATTTGCTGAGACTCTTAATCTGTTTATCTACAGGCAATTCTGGTTCTTTGATTATTTTAAGGGAAGATCTGGATTTCCTGGACTTTCGCCCAGTGTGATGATGTCTCCTTTAGAAGTGGCGTCTAATGGTTCACACACAGCTCCAGAGACAGCTGAACACCGTTATGACAGCATATCCTTTTTCACTCATCAAGTGCCCATTTGTGTTCATGGTCTTCATTATGCCGTGAGGTCTTATATGGTACAAAAACAGGATTTTTTTTAAAGAATTCCATTCCTGGGTCATCAAATGAGAATCCTTCTTGCTCACTCCAAATTAAATGGAGAATACATTTCCCCAAAGTCCTTAGGCTTACGTGCTTTGTTTCCTATTTATCCTATAACAATATGTGCCAGGTGTGGTTAACGCTGCACATCTTTGAAAGATTTTTGATTTGCCTGTTAACGTCCAGAGGCTGGGTAGTGAAGAATCTGCCTATTCCTTAAGCTTTGTTTGCCACCCTCAAACCTTTGGTTGTAGCACACTCACAGACATGTGCAAGTGGTGAATAACGTATGTCACCCGGTGCCCATTCTGATCTTTACGGAGGCCTGCCCAAGTGACATTGTGCTTTTGTGCATTGGACCCACACATGTAACAGTGTCTTCTGTGTGGTCGCCTGAGTGCCGAGGGGTTTGGCGGCAGCGCGGTGGTAGAGGGTTTGCCTAGAATGCCAGAGGCCCAAGGTTCAAAATCAGGACTGCAAAAAGCACAAAAGGTCCAACGTAGTGCTGAGTGCTGGGTAGTGCCCTGAAACACAGAGGCCTCTGTGTCCTCGTCCAGAAATCAGGCAGGTGGATGGGCTTCACACCAGCAGGAATTACACAGCTCCATCAACTGTGAGAGCAATGTGACCCTTTCAACAATGTTCACTGAACAAGGTTTCTTAAGAAGTTCAGCCCATAGCTGGGCGGTGGTGGCGCACGCCTTCAATCCCAGCATTCGGGAGGCAGAGCCAGGCGAGTTCCATGACAGGCTTCAAAACTACACAGAGAAAGCCTGTCTCAAAAAACAAACAAACAAACAAACAAACAAACAAACAAACAAACAAACAAGAAGCTCGCCCCAGATCAGGTGTATACTCACTCATCAGTTGATAAAAACGTGAATGGAGTCTTGTGAGAGCAAACCCTATACCTCCCCAATCACCCACTCACATGCACAGTCCTAGGGCCTCCTGTGACTTTATAGGGTAAAACTATGAGAACCACCACCTCTGTTCTTCTCCAGGTGGCCCGTGTGGTAGCCCCTTTCTCCACACAGCCATGGCTAAGCTCGAAGTGTTGTTCTCTACTGCAGAAAAGAACCTGGGAAAAAAGCAGAGGGTGACCTCATAATGCTCTCTGCGTGCTGAGAAGAACTAGGACTACATAACTGTGTGGTCCAGTGATAGGCCAGTGTCCCAGCCAGCAACATGGAGTTCCCCGGAGAAATGAGTCATTTCCTTCTGTTTGGGTAGGTGCAGTGTGGCGGCCAAGGACTCAAGCTACTGGTGTCAGAACATTAGAATTCTCTCTCTCTCTCCCTCTCCCCCTCCCTCCCTCCCTCCCTCCCTCCCTCCCTCCCTCCCTCCCTTTCTCTCTCTCTCTCTCTCTCTCTCACACACACACACACACAGAGAGAGTCACACAAGGGTCTGCTCATTTTAAATTACTCCGCACCATTAATTTATATAATAAACAATTACCTAGTTCTCACCATGGACCGTATAAATAACTGAGAAATACTGAAAATTCTCAAGAAATATGATCTAATAGGGACAGTAATGAAGAGAAAAGAAAGGAGGGAGGGAGGAAGAAAGGGAGGAGAGGGAAGGATTAGGAGAGAAGGACATCTATTTGTTCTTGCCCTCACACCCTGCTTCCCGCCCCAGCTAAAGCAGATTCTGGTAAGCAGAACTCTTGGCAAAATGACGTGAGATGGGCTATGCCTGTGTTAGCGTGTCTACGTGGGCCTGGGCAGGATGCTGGTGTGCCCATTTTGGTGTGCTTCTTTGGGTGAACTTAATGATCATCGTTGATCTCAGCCTTCGGTCAAGTATGTCTGGTGCAGTATCTTCCATGGGGTCTTGGGAGAGCTGGGTTGCTGCTTGCTTCCGGTCTGGTTGTGAGTCATTTCACCTTGCCTTGTGATCACCGAGAGTGTCACTGGAGCCACTTTGCTTCTGAGACTGTTTAAACCCTGACGTTTACCCAAAGTCACTAGCAATTTACCTTGTCATGTGCTGCTCTATTAGGAACTCACCAGATGACACTGGATTTATGGGAAGCATCCGACTATTAATTTTTAATGAGAATCCAATATTGGCCATACTATTTCTTTCTGGTGTCACATGGTGAGATTAACTTGCATTCGTATAATAAGATAAAGAAAAGCTAAATGCTGGTGTGTGAGATGGGGGCTTGTGGCTCCCAGTGGTCACTGTGGGATTATCTTCTTCTAGCACAGTGGTTCTCAGCCTTCCTAATGCTGTGACCCTTTAATACAGCTCCTCATGTCGTGGTGACTCCAACCATAAAAGTATTTCATTCCTACTTCATTGCTGTAATTTTGCTACTGTTATGAATCATAATGCAAACATCTGATGTGCCGGACAAACTGAGAGGTACCCCCACAAGGGGGTTGTGACCCACAGGTTGAGAACCTCTTCTAGGGGTTCACTGCTGCTTTCCTCTTTGTCAGTGATGCTCTGTGAAATGAAAAAAAAAATCCCTAGATTTCTCTCCCTTGAAAACAGTGGCTGGGTTTAATCCACCATCTATTTCTCAGTTCTAAGAATTCAGTTTTATACATAAACGGAAAGCTAAAATGAAATAAAATATGAAGACATGATAAAGAGAACTAGAAAAGGGTCAGGTAGATAGAGATAAGGGGGAAATTAAAGGAGAGATGGAGAGAGGGAGGAAGAGGAGGAAGGAAGAGGAGGTGGAAGAGAAGGAGGAAGAAAAGGAGGAAGAAGAGGAGAGGAGAGTGGCCATAAAATCACCACCAGAACACCTCATCCTTCTAGAAATTGTTTGAGATGGCCTACAAAACTAACTTTGATTATTGATTCACTATTTAGTATCAAATAATTAAAGCAATGACTCAAATTAAAAAAAAATCAATAATGAACGTGAAGCATCTATTGAACCAGGGAACACTGACCAATGACATTTACAAACACTCAGTGCCTCCCTACAAATCTGAGTGCTGATACTGAAGCAAAGCGAAGAGTCTCTGAAATGTCAGCCGGGCCACAGACAGGTGCATCCCCACCAGGCATGTGATGTGGGGAATTACCCCCAACTCACAGATGCCCTTGCAATACCTACCTGTCTTTAGCCAAAGAGGGTGCGCTCTTGGGAAATATATTTTTGGAATTCAGTTTCTGGATTTTAAAGAAACTCAAGGGAAGACCATCTTCCAAAGCCCTGGTTACATTTCCAGCCTTCTCTTCTGTCATGTAAACGAGCTATCTAGATGTGTTGCCTAGCTGAGCTTTAGATGGCTGCAGCTAATAACATCTGCAGGTTATCATCCCAGAGATCACAAGAAAACTACCACATAGTGCCAGGTCTGCCACAAAAATAGTTTTAATGTATTATTGCTTAAAATAACTGTGTGTGTGTGTGCATGCATGCATGTATAAGATTTAAAGAAAAGTGATAAAATCATCTGTAATAAGAAAAAATATTGACATTTAAAAAAAGTGGTATTAATGGAATTCATCATAATTGCAATATTTTAAAGGAACAATAGTTAAAACTAGAACACTTAGGAGGAAAAACAAAAAAGACATCTAAAGGGAGACAGACAAGTCGAAGAATTAACTGTACAAAGAGCTGATTCTCAGGTAACTGCTAATTTAACTAATAAAATGTAATATAATTAATAAATGAAACCACAAAGTAAACTCTAGACAAATGTCCCATCTTGCCTTAAGTCTGTGACAATAATGGCATTTTATTTTGTCTCTTCCCTTTTCCAAATCACTTTCCCCTGAGCAGGCCCAGTAGACACATGACTTTCCCACTTAAACACTTCCGGGAGTGCTTAAGTTTGCACTCAAAACTCTCTACCCAGCCTGTGAAGGTGTGGGGACCTGCTGCTCTCCACTCTGATGTCACCATCTGAATCATGGTCCCGGTTTCCATCTCTCAGACCTGCCCCTGTGGAGGAGCTTCACGCAAGTTCTTACTGCACAGACTTGGCACTTGTGGTGGGTGGTTGTCTGTGCCACACCCTGAAGCACCCTCCCTAGTGAGGCAGCAGGGAGCTGCTAGGTACCTGCCCCTGGGATGTGGCCACCAGGAACCCTTAAGACCTGAGATGCACTTGTGTGCTCTCCCTTTGCTACCTTGTGGTCTTGGATGCTGGTGAGAATCAAGGCAGAGCTCTCCAGAGAACTGTGTTGGACTGTGCCCCACCATTCCAGGATTCTGCTACCAACTCCTTTATTCTGGTTGTGAGTTAACCCCCAAATAAATTCCTTTGACCATCAAATACACTCCGTGGATTTTTTCCAATTAGGCTTAGTTAGCAAGGATAACTTGCTATTATCTTCTCTGCAGTGAGGGATTTCCCCCAGGTACTCCTAGAACCTGATCTTTTCCTCCACGTATGGTCCCTGGACAGCATATGCTAGCATAGACCCCCATCACTCGCAAACGAACTTTCAACTGTCAGGTATCACCTCCAGTATGAACTTATAAGGCCCAAGAACAGTCTGGTCATCTGTCTATTTGTCTGTCAGTTCTGGTTGATGGTTGTGAACCTACAGACACGAGATTGTAACTCAGTGAGGGCAAGAATTTCCCCTCACCATTTCTACAACCCTAGCACCCAGACATTATCTACCGTGCAGCAGGCTTTCAACAGAGGATGGGTTTAGACATCTTAATAGTGAGGCTATTCTTCCCAACATGCAAGTTGGAGAAAACATAATAAAAAGTATTCACATACTGTCTGTAGACTTAAAAATCTACATAAGAAAAAACATCAAGAGTGAAATTATGAAACAAAGTAAGAATATTTTCAACATGTCGAGGGGTTAATATATTTAATACAGGTTAAATATTTTGAGAAAGAAAGGAAAACATTAGTCCCTCCAAAGAAAGCGTATGGCAAAGAGATAAAGAAGAGAATACAAGCTGTGTAGACACAGGAAACAACTGACCTTCTTACTCTTCACAAAGGAAGTGCAAACAATGAGGTGTGTTCAGTTGTGCTGTGCACACATGTAGGTGGAGCCCAAGGTATTTCCGGAAGGAATACTTCCGGAAGGAATGCAGAGCTTTCACCAAAGCCTTAAAAGTGTTCATGCATTTTGTCTCTATGGTTCCACAGAAATCCAATGCAAGAAAAATATTTGTGGAGTGCTTAAGTTCACACTCAAGTATTTCTGGTGTCTTTTTCGAATTATCACAATTACAGGTTTGCAACAATACAGTACTTGCTAATGTGTAGTGTGTTGACATAACTAAAACACAGTAGCTACCTAAAACCACACTCATAAAAAATTCACAAATACAGTGCATGAAAGACATGGATATTTATATTGTCCTGATGCATACAATAACTTTATGTTACATATGTGCACCTTTTCTTGGTAAACCTATCATTTTTCTATTCTTCTATTTTATGCATATTCATGCAAAGACAAGTGAAAAAATAATAGTGTGTAAGTAGTCTCATTTGAGGCTGGGAAGACTGGCCAATTTATATTTGGAATACTGCTTCTGTGTGCTTTGTGAGCTATTAGAAGCCTTTGCTCTTTTATGTTTTCAGAAAACAGAAAACAAATCGTGTAAAAAAAATAGCACTTCATTCTTGGAAAATTGGGTTTCTATTATATGTTATGAAGTAATCAGAAAGCAAAATAAGACATTGGGGTAAAATATGGAGTGTTTTTACAGGACACACTGTGATTTAGATGGATTCCGTTCTTCCTTGACCATTTGGTTATTGATATTAAATTCCACGGTATAAGCCACACTGTAATCTACATCATACATCCCACAACTGATACAAAGCCTCATCACAAACTTTATGATAAAGGATTTTATCTAGAGATTATCTGAGTTTAGTTCCATTTCTGTAGCCAGCAAGTTCATGTATTCATTCAACAGACAATTACCTGACCACCCAAATACTCAGACAACCATCTGGACATTGGGGAACACAAATAATCTGTGCACCTTCAAATATCTACCCATTGTAGATGTATGTAAGCATTACAGATGTAAATATATAGGTGTGAATATCACCAATTAGTCTGCTTACTGCATGGACTGGCACCTGAAATTATTTCATAGTGTGGCATGTACTATGGGTTAAACGGAGTTATGGGATGGCCAGTTGGGGAGAATTCTTGATTAAACCCTAAAGTAGTTTCTTGAGACTTTCTTATAAATCACCACAAACTGAATAGCATAAAACAACATGATGTCTTCACTGCCTGGGGGCTGAAGGTA